CATCCATCCATCCATCCATCCATCCATCCATCCATCCATCCATCCATCCATCCATCCATCCATCCATCCATCCAGTCATCAATCCATTTATTCCATCATGTCATCTTTTCCTATCCTATCTTTCCATGTATGCATCCAATCCCACCCTATTTATCAATCCATCCAACTTTTTGTCAATGCATGCATCTTATTGAACCATCCCATTAACCATCTTCCATCCAACTTCCATCCACTCACCCATCTATCCACTAGTCCATCCTTTTTCCCAACCGCCACCCCAAAAATCCAAACCTTCTTATATGTCTTAGAAAAACTGAAACCACCTCCCTACTGAAATCTACTTTTTCAATTCACTTAAGGTTCAACAAATCTTGGAGAATTTAAATGAAGCAAAACAGACAATGATGACATCAGCTACAATCCCTCCCAATGTCGAAACTATGGCCAGTAAACTGCTACGAGACCCTGCGTTCATATCTGTGGGTAACCCCAACGCACCCACACAGGCAGTCAAACAGTTGGTCCTCTGGGTGGAAGAGAAATCTAAGAAAAAACACTTATTTTCTATTCTGAATGATTCAAAGCACTTCAAGCCTCCTGTGGTAGTGTTTGTTGATTCTAAGATAGGAGCAGATATGTTGGCTGAGGCAATACAAAAGGTTTGTTTAAAGAAAGAAAAAATATATAGAGGGTTTCATGACAACTTTGTTGTCAGGCCAGAAGTGTAGAGAGGGGGATAGCGGGCTGGGCAACCACCTAAAAGGTAATAAGTCTATCTTTTATTGGTTTAGATACAGTGTTTCTTTGTATATATATGATTACAAAGTTTTTCGTTTTGCACCTAGTATCTCAGCATTGAAATTTCATTAATTCGTGTTGTATTCCTGTGGATATGACAGGGAATTCTCAACCTGTAGGGCAGAAACAATACGTTGTTTTTGCAAAATAAGAGATTTTTTTGAAATTCCTCTTGAAATCCCTCTAATGACGTAGCCCTCCATGTAGCTGACATTCTGTTCTTTTCATCCTAGATGTGTAAAATTCCTTGCGTAGCCATGCACGGGGACAAAAAACAAGAAGAAAGGACCCAGATATTACAGTCTTTTATCAGTGGAGAGTATCCAGTTATTGTCTGTACTGGAGTGCTTGGAAGAGGTGTGGATCTCTTGAACGTCAAACAGGTGGAGTTCTTTTTGTATGTGTGATGTGTATAATATGGCATGTCGGCGGGAGGGGAGGGGGCTTGGGATTTTTGCCCTTGCAAAGCCCTCCTCTCTGAGAATATTGCATACTTTCGTGGCAGATCTGTTATAGACCTCTTTACCTCGGGCGTCACGTTTTCCTATTTAAGATCAGTGTCATAACCAGGGATCTCGCAGTGGAGGTGCACATAATTATTAATGTTTGTGTTATTCTACAGGTCATCAACTTCGACATGCCTGCTTCAATCGAAGAATACATCCATCAAGTTGGTAGAGCAGGAAGACTAGGAACCAGTGGCTGGGCAGTAACGTTCATCAATAACCAAAACAAACACTTATTCTTGGACTTAATTGAGACTCTTAGTCCTTTGGGGGTCTCTTTACCCAGTGAACTGACCAATTCGTTTTATGCAAAGCAACAAAAGGAGAGAAAGAAGCAAAAGGCGAAAGATGAGAAAGATGAAATAGTTCATCAGGGAAATTTGATCGACTTGTTGAAGAAAAGTACGGAAAGAAGGAAAAAAAGATAACTAATTAAAAAAAAAAACAACAGGAAACGAACGAACGAACGAACGAATGAATGAATGAATGAAAAGTACAAACACAAAAGTACAAACACAAAAGTACAAACACAAAAGCAAGCAATAAGATGCCGTCGGTAACAGCATATTGTACTAAGGACTCAAAGAATGCGAAATTCTACTGATTTGAGATATATTCCTTAATAAAAATAAAGAAATCGAGAAAAAGAAGAACATTACTGTTTGCTGTGCAAGGAAAAAGTCGCTTTCCCGGCGTCAAATCACTTCTCTTGAAGAAACCTCAATATCCTAAAGATCTCTCTCTCTCTCTCTCTCTCTCTCTCTCTCTCTCGTTTTTAAGCAATATGCCAACAGATAAAGCCACAGGACTGGACAACATATCTTGTCGGCTTTTAAAAGAAGCTGCTCCCATAATTGCTCCTATCATAGCTAATATCATAAATACGTCATTTGCTAAGGGAATTTTCCCTTCACTTTGGAAAAGAGCTAAAGTGATCCCTCTACAAAAGGCCAAGGATCGTAATGATCCAAATAATTATAGGCCAATATCTATTCTCCCTATTTTATCTAAAATTTGTGAGAGGGCAGCTTATGACCAATTATATGCCTATTTTAATAAATTCAATCTCTTAACTAAGTATCAATCTGGCTTTCGACCCTT